ATGTATTATTTGTGTAATATAATAAATGATTGGAAAGTTTTTAGACTAGATGTTTGTTCACTTTTGACTTAATAGAAGAGTATTTTCGATGATTCAAAAGTTATGAATTTGTGCTCGAGCTTACAAATTTTTATTCAAGAGTAGTGAAATAATGTTTGAAAAGTCCAAAAAATTACTTTGGATAGAAAATTTGTGTATTTTAACCATACCAATTTGGAACTAAAACTTAGAATCTTTTTTTGTGCATCAATTTGTAAGTCAGAAGCTACCCTACATAACAGGTCAAATATGAACAACCATTTTGTCTAAAAACTTCTGGAGTATCTGTTATAACTATAGAATACTTTCTTGATTTCGTGGTTTTTTTCTAGTGGTGAAAGTGGTGGTGGAAAAACTCAAAGTACAAAATTGATTATGAATTATTTAGCAGCAGTAAGTCTTTCTATAATGTGAATATTAACTGTAGTAGAAAACTTCGAATTAAAATTTAGGTTAATCCAGGCAAATATAAATTAATTACTGAACAAATTCTTGAAGCATCACCTTTACTTGAATCATTTGGAAATGCTAAAACAGTTCGTAATGATAATTCATCACGATTCGGAAAATATATTGAAATTTATTATTCGCAGTAATCTATATATACATATACTCCTCTTCTTTTTCTCATATTCGTTTATTAAATAATAATTTTTGTTTATTTTATTAAGAAAATCTATAGTTGGAGCTAAATTATCGGATTTTCTTTTGGAAAAAAGTCGTATTGTAACACATTCAAATGATGAAAGAAATTATCATGTGTTCTATGAATTACTTGAAGGATTTGATACTGAAGAAAAACGTAAATATGGTTTAACAACACCAGAAAAATATTTTTATCTTAATCAAGTAATTTTTTAATATTCATAATAAATTTGTGATAATGAATGATGCCAAAGTCGTCAGACAAAATTTTTCTTCATTTTCGTAAAATCAAAATTTTCTGCTCTTTCCAAACATATGTTGGAGATTTTTGTAAGACTTATAATCAATAGTGAAAATTCTCATATCTATCTGATGATTCAACTATTTCAGTTTCATATGATATTTAGGAAATTGAACAGAAACCGTCGAGCTCTAAGTTTTCTATTAACTCTCGTAATCAATCATAAGATGAAGAAATATTTTGTCCAGAAATTTTCGCATCATCTTCCTCTATGTAATATTTTTTTTTCTAAAGGGTGCTTCAATGGCTATATCAAGCAAATCAGATGCACATGATTTTCAATCATTATTAACTGCAATGAAAATTCTTAATTTTACAAAAAATGAACAAGAAACAATATTTAAAATTTTAGCTGCTATTTTACATCTTGGAAATATTTATTTTTCACGTTCAGTTGATGATCCTGGTCATGATTTAATACAAATTAGTTCGAAAACTGAAATTGAATGGTGTTCACATTTACTTGCACTTAATGATCAAGGTCTTTTACAAAAATTAACACATAAAGTTACAGAAGCTCGTGATGAACGTCTTTTATCACCATTTAATCTTGAACAAGCACTTGATTCACGGTAGATTCGTGTTTTTTTCTATGAAAAATAAAAATTATTTTCATATGTTCTTTTTTTTTTCAGAGATGCTATTGCTAAAGCTCTTTATTCAACATTATTTAGTTGGCTTGTAGCACGTATCAATCAAATAGTTCGTGTAAATAATAATGTTGATAATAGTATTGCTATTTTGGATATATTTGGATTTGAAAATTTTTCAACAAATAGTTTTGAACAATTGTGTATCAACTATGCTAATGAAGCATTACAGTTTCATTTTAATCGACATGTATTTAAATTAGAACAGGTTAATTTATTCGAAACAAAAAGAACTCAATAGAAACGTTTGAGGTTAACTTGTGCTTCTCTTTTTTTCCTTTGTTTACAGGAAGAATATGCAAAAGAAAAACTTGCATGGAAAAAAATTGATTTTGCTGATAATACTGATTGTCTTGATTTAATTGGCAAAAAACCAAATGGAATTTTACAAATTCTTGATGATGAAAGTAATTTTCCAAAGGTAAATTAATAGAAAGAAAATTATTTCCATTTGAAAAGCATATGTGAGCGATGAAAAATTTGTTTTATTATTCATAACAATCATGAATCATAATCAGATACATTTGAGACGCGTTGACTTGACCTGTGCTGAAACAAGAATTACTCGTGTTTGTTTGATCCGAATTCTTCTGTATTAATGTTTGCTGTGACACAAATTATAAGCAAAGAGTGAATCGAAAGTTTCTAGAGAAAATATTTAACTATTATTGATATATTTAAATGCATTGGTGGTGTATTAAAATCAGAATTTTGTGCTCTTGAAAAGGCTAACAAAATCTTATTTTTTTTGACGACAAACCTATATCAAATAAGTTCTGTAAATATATATTATTTTAGGATGATGTCTATTCTATAAAATGATGCAAGGATTCAGAGTTTTACTTAATCCACTAAAAAATGACAGATTTATGACCGTGGATCATTTTGTTCTGCGATAGACTTCATAAAAATCTTTATTGTACTTTAAAATTTGCAGAAAAACTACCATTTTGTAAAACTGTTTTCTGTATCCTTCAATATATTCGATAAAATTTTTGAAGTCTTTTCAAGGTTTATTTATAGCTCAATAATCATAAGTCACACAAGAATTCTAAGCGCATACTCTGGAAGAGCATAAAATTATGATTCTATTGCAGTATCGATACATTTAAATACACCAATAATAGTTAAATAGTTTGTCTAAAAATTTTTGATCCACTCCTTATTAGATGTCTACATGATAGAACTCAAAGATCTCTTCAATAATTTAAGAGAACATTATAAGAAGTTTATTATCATAATGATCATAAGTTTAATCAAATCATATAATTGTATATAATGTCATAAAGACTATCATTCATGATAGAAACTTCTTAAAAGTAAATTATTCACTGATTACTTTTTAAAAAGTGTGATAAATTATTATCCGTAGCTGACAGTATTAATTTCAGTCTATTGTTAAGAGGAATCTATTTTAATGGTGCGTCCACCTCTTTTTATTCATTTCTGTCTTCAATATAAATTTTAAAAAAAATCTAAAACGAAAAGCATCTTGCAAAAAATAGTTGCTCTCATCCTAAGATAAATTCTACTAAATTAGAGTATTAAACCATATTGAAAAATCTTTTTTTGTCGTTAAGGCAACTGATCAATCATTTCTACATAAATGTCATCGTGTTCATGAATCAAATCGTTTGTATGGCAAACCACGTTTATTAAAAACAACTTTTAGCATTCGACATTATGCAGGTGAAGTTGAATATGATGTAAGTTAATTGAAATTCTTTATAATTTAATTGTATTCTATACATATTAAAAAAAACTTAAAGGTACGTGGGTTTCTTGATAAAAATCGTGATTTATTACGCAGTGATGTTATTGATTTATTTTCATCAAGTCGAAATGAAATCTTAGCTAATATGTTTCGTGATATACGTGAAGTGTATGAATCACATCGTGGCTTTCATTTTAAAACAGGACGTTTTATCACAATGAAAGCTAAAACACCAACTGTATCAGCAAAATTTTCTGATAGTTTAGCGAATTTAATTGATACTATGACACGTTGTCAACCAACATTTATTCGTTGTATTAAACCAAATAATGATAAAACGCCTAATAAATTAGAATTATCTGTTGTCCTTGAACAATTACGTAATACAGGAATGCTTGAAACTGTACGAATAAGAAAATTAGGTTTTCCACGCCGTTATTCATTTGAACAATTTGCTAAACGGTTCGTTGAAAGAAAATATCATTTAATTCTCATCATAATCTATTTTCTTTTTATTTAGATATCGTTGTTTACTATCAAATTCAATTGATACTACAGATCCAAAAGAAATAACAATACATATTTTAAATAACTTTCCACCAAAATTTACTTCAAAATATCAAATAGGCATTACAAAAGTAAATTTTTGAATCTAGGACACTTGCTCACCAGAGGTGTGGATGAAGATAAAAGTTACAACCACACCCGAGAGCAATTGTCGGGCTCTCGAAGTTTTATTTATTCAGACATGCTAACTCAGTGCATAACGTAGAGTCTAGCACGTGAGATATGAGAAGTCTTAAAACGATAAGTTCTCATTGACTTTCTGTCCAGAGTGATAGGCATATTATTAGAATTTCAGCCTCAGACATGGTAAATATTAACAAACCGAATGACAGCATTTCAATCTGAAATCTCGCCTGCAGACAAGTCTATTGGTTAGTAGAATGCCCTGAAAATTTCAGATCAACATAATACTTCCTTCTCAAGATATTAAAATTTCAGATACAGAAAATTTTCAGGACCTTCTAATAACATATAGATTCGTGTGTGAGTGAAATCTCAAATCGAAATACTGTTATTTGATTAGTTGATATTGACCATGCCCGAGACTACAACTCTAGTAGAATGTTTGTAACTTTGGACAAAAGGCCTAAGGAGACGTATACTTTTGAAACTTCTCATATCTTACTAGACTCTACTTTATGCAGTAGATCCGAATTCAAAAAGGATTGATTACTTGAAAACGTTCCCTCCTAAGAAAAAAAAACAAATCAAAATTTTATTTTATTATTAAATAAGGTTTTTATGCGTGAATCACTTGAATATCATCTTGAAAAAGAACGTTCAGTAATATTAAATGAAGCAGCATCAACAATTCAACGTACAATAAAAAGTTATATTCAACGAAGAAATTTTGAAAAACAACGTCATGCAGTTCTTATTCTTCAAAGACAATATCGTCGTTGGATTGATAATAAAAAGTAAGTCATATTCAAATATTTACACTATTGAACGACAATAAACACAATTACAAGTCGATCATCATCATTTAACGAAATGTCAGACAGGGATTATTTGATTAATTGAATGAGAGTGTACGACAAGAACAAAAGAAGACAACTTTTCAATTAATTATTCGATTTGCAAAATGAAAGGAACAGGATCACCATCAATAGGTCGTTTTCAACGTCGACCAAGTTTAGGAACATCTATAGCTAGAGCTATGATATCAATGAGTCCAGATGTTACTTTTGATAGAATATCTGAAAACTCAACAAGTCTTAGTATAAAATTATGTGAATCACTTGATTCATCTTTTTCGGGTACATCTTGCTTTTCTCCATCGACAGCTTTAAGTCATATAACAGGTAGTAGTTCAACATTACATTCAATGACTGAGTAAGAAAAAAAATGAAACAATATATTTTTTGTTTTGATAATTGAATTTATTTTATTATTTAGACGAACTACAACTTCAAATTCTCCAGAATATCCGGTAGATTTTATAGAGGAAAAAAAATTAGTTTATAATAACTTTTAAAAATTATTTTTTTTAGCCAACACAATTTCATTTACTTGAAATACCGAATGATTTAAATTTAGTTTTTAATCGTCTTGATGGTATTTATATTTCTTTTTTTATTTCAATGGGTAACAATGACGAAAACGGGATATGACCATCTTTGATTCTTTTTAGCATTTATTTTGTTTGAACAAGTTCTCTTCTCATCATTTGACGTAAAAATATTGGCTCTTTAAGCTGACAATGAATTAATCCTTTTTAGTTAGTCTTCGAATTTCAGAATAGATTATATCGATGGTGAAATTTTCAGCAAAACCAAATTTCAAAAGTTGCTTTTCTATGTTTTATTATCAACTCGCACTCTTCAAGAAAGCTTTTGTACCATTTAAAGTTGATTTTTAGACTTCTCATTCACTCACAAGAGGATTTTTATTCGTATTCACCCACGTTTAGCGATCTGTGAAACCATTTTTCGTCTCTATCCTGACTGCAGTTTCGTTGATCTGGGTCAAAGTTTGGAATTTCCTCAGTACCGGAACTAAAGATTATAGTTAAATATTCTTAGTTTTTAAGCGAATTATTTTAGAAATCATCAATTAGAACAATAACTCAAGAGAGATGTCTCAAAAAAAAAATACTAGTTGTCAACTAACTAAATCAAAAAATGAGTATTGAAGAATTTTTGTAGATATAACACCTGATACTAGTTTTTCAATAATAACTTAACGGAAGCATAGTCTATAGGACTGAATTTTTCAGAGTATCTAGAGTAACTCACCATACGTCTGTTTTATAAAGATTAGTTCAAACAGATTTTCGAGCTTTGAGATGTGAGTGTTTTAATTTTGCGAAATCATGTCACTAACGCTTTACGTTGTCCTTGTATATTTTTTTTCATAGCTTGGCAAGAACCGCATAGTGAACAGCATATCATTGAAACTTCTCGATCAACAAATGTTATTCCTACTGAACAACATTTATTTCCATTGAATAATAATACAGGAACATCATCATTTATGAAATATATTCAAGAAAATACTAATGTAAGTTTTTTTTCTCTTTCTCAAAATTTATTGTATGAAATTTTAATAAATATATATATATATTAGCTTGGAATCAAATGGGATCGTTTATTAAATCCAATTAAAGAACCATTCACAAAAAATATACATGAACAGCAACATATTCAATTAGCATTGTCGTTATTTAAATTGGTAAGATAGAAATATTTTCTTGTGTCTTTTTGCATGTGAAGGCCATATAGATTTTACGTTTTGTAAATACATCGGAACATGATATAAAACGAGATCGAGCATTAGGTGATTATATAGTTCAAATGGTATGTTGTACAAAAAAAAAGAATCATTTGTAAATAAAATATGATGTTTATTTTTGAAGGGTTTAATGAATGAAGTTTTACGTGATGAAATAATGATTCAGATAATAAATCAAATATGGAATAATATTGATTTAATTAAATTAAATAAAGCATGGATTTTAATGTTTAATTGTATTGGTTGTTTTCCTCCATCATCAAGATTTTATAAATATTTATTCAAGTATTTGGTGTCAAAGGAGCCTATCGGATAAGACGACCACCCTTCATTTGAATAGTCAATTATACCGGTTTTTTTAGAGCAACTTGTCGAGTATCGAATGGTATATAAAAAAATTGCTTTTTCATCAAGTTTCAATGTTCTAAGAAACCATACACCAGTTAAGAGATATTATAACAATTATAGATGATATGACTAAATATTAGAACTCAGTATCTCTCCAAGCTAACCCATATTAAAATTGGTTTCAAATTATTTTAATCGTGTATATCTAATAATATTCATAATAGCTTTCTCCGTCTCGAAATCTTAGCACTATTAGTAGCTTTTCTAACTTTTGGCTTTTATGGCTTTTTAAATTGTTTGATACTGCTCCTGATGGTAAACATGACTAACCGTGCAGCTTTCTCAAAAAATAATCTACTGTCACAGAAAGGTATATGAGTCGTGCAAGTAATTCTTTTTGAATGAAAAAAATTTCTATCTAATTATAATAATAAGTTCATCATGCCCTGCTATTTTACTTATACAGATCTTTCGAAAATGATAAAAAACTGCTCACTTTCAGATCTCTGAGGGAGAATAAAGGAATAAATTATTAGAAACTTTAGTTTTTATTTTTTTTATTTTGTTCCGTACAAATTTATATTCTGCGTCAACGAGTGGAATTAGAGTATGGATATTCTTTAGATTCGATAGGTATTCGATCTTTTGTGAGAATTAAAAACTTTACTTATCTTCGTAACTCTTTTCAGGAATCTAGACTCGCAAAATTTTTCTGCTATTTTTGAACGATTCGTATATACCAAATCAATAGACATGATGAAATTATCATTATTTGATAGAAACTTATACTTTTTTATCCTTGGGAATCGAAAAATTGACTTTTTTTAGGCATTAATTAAGCGATTTGACTATGACGCACGTCAACTCAGAGGACAACCAATTAACATACTTATAGAGTTTGATGGCACACAGTTTCTGAGAAAGTTGCACGGTTATTCACTTTTATCCTCATAAACAGTATTGAACAATTTCTAACATCATAGAAGCTAAAAATTATTATGGACGTCGGTGAAAATGTAAAGACTTTAGGTCAACAAAATTTGATGAAAATGTAATTTCTCATGTCATTCGATGCCCTACGAATTGCTCTACACAACGGTATACGTGACTTTTCAAATGAAGGATGATTATCTTTTCTGACAGGCCCTTAACTAATTTCTCTTGACTCCTTTGTTTTCTTATCTAGTTTCGTCTCAGGAGAAAATCCATCCAATAGTGAAGTAGGTAAACGAAAATTATTAGCAGCAGGTTCTGCTGATGCACCAAGAACATATCCACCAACACAATTAGAATGGTCTGCTAATAAACGTTCAATTCCAATGGCACTTCAAGCAGCATTTTTCGACAGTAAAAAAAAAGTACTTTCATAAAATATTCAATGAATAATTTTTTTAATTTTAATTAGATTTTGAAATTCTCGGAGAAGTTGAATCATGGATGACAGGTGAACAATTTGCATATGAATTAGTATCATCACGTGGTTTATCAAAAGATAATTCATTTGGATGGACTGTATCATTAGAAGAAAATGACAATGAAATTGAATTAATGGGACATGATTATATACTTGATTTAATAAGTGAATTAGAAATTCCCCCATGTTCACCAGTTTGTAAATCATTTTTTCTTATTCATGATGGTCGTGATCGTTCATCAAAAAGTCAACGACGACGCAATCATCGTACAACAGTTAGGTAAGTTTTCATAAATACAAAACAATATTAAATAAAATTATTCTTTTTGATCACAAAAAAAAAAATAAATCTGAAAATCTAATAGATCGAAAGAATGGTTTTTAAAAATTGATAATACACGTTCAAGTCGTTTGTCGAAAAATCGTCGACGAGTATCATCATCAAATTGTTCATCACCATACAAGTATCCGAAACATTTTAGTAGTGATGATCAACAACAAATTGAAAAAAAATATATTAAACATCATTCACCTGTTTATCATGATGTAACGAGTAAAAAATCGAATTCATCATTATCATTATCATCATCAGAAAGTTTGCATGAACATCAACCATTTTCATCACCGCTATCGGCAACAAAAGATATATCAAAAGTTGATGCTACTAGTGCATATTCTATAACTGATGGTCAACTAGATGAAATTCCTATACAAAAAAGTGAAATAAACGTACCATTTCATCAAGATACACCACCATTACCACGATTAGTATCATCATCAAGATCGAGTAGAGAAAAACAAAAAGTTGATGAGGAAATAAAACCTATTGAAAAACGAGTACAAGTAAATAATCAATCATCAATTAATAAAACAAATCTTATATCAGCACCAATGTCAACTAATGAACGTAAAGGATCAATACGTAAAACAAATACATTTACATCATCATCACATTCAATGGTTGATTCTGGATGTGGTGGACATCTTATATCAAAAATACCTGCTTTGCGTTGTTTTCGTCCAACTAAACAACATCATACACCAAAATCTCATAAAACATCACCATTACCTCCACCACCACTTGTTGTTAGGTAGAGATACATGAATATCGAATATTTGTTAATCATGCATGTGAATGTGCATGAGATCAAATTTGCATGAAATGCTTTGCCTTTGTCTTGAGCATTATATTATCATCGAAAGTTGTTAAGATTGATATAAAAGTATTTTGTTTTTGATTTTTTTTCAGTGATTATAGTGGTGTAGATAATCCAACATCATTTTATGGAGAATTTTCTGTTTGTTCTGATGGTCCAGCAAATATAAATCAATATGAAAAAATTGGTAAGATTCATTCTATATTCAAGTTTAATAAAATATTAATAAGAAAATATGTTTGTAGGATCATCAATTCATAATGCAGCAAAGCCCGTATGTTACTTTATACATTAGATATTGTTTTATTATCTATTATGTTTAGAATGGTCATAATGATGAATATCGTTTGTCAAGTGTCTATTCAGAGGGTGATGTTATTGATGATGTTCAAGCTGATTTAACCGAGTATGAAACTGAAGATGCACAAATGAAGAGAAATTCGCCGACGAAAGATAATTCTAAACCAGGAACTAAGTAAGTTAAAAATCGATCGAATGGAATAATGTCTTGTATTTATTTAATATTTTTAAGATTGAACATTAATATATATACATAATAAACATTTAATTAGTTGAAATAAGACGTGAGCAAAATAGTTTCTATCCCTGCGACATTGGGACCAAACTTTTTCTTCGCCCGGCCAAGCCTAAGTTTCTCTTTTGATCATCGCCAAGGTTAGATTTTTTTGATCGGAGCGGAGGATGAAGCTTTTTTGATCAGAGTCGCAACCTAATGTTTTGTTGATCAGAACCGGGAACAAATATTTTTGATCTGAATCGGGATCAAATTCTTTTTCTGATTAGGGTCAGAGGCAGGGTTGGGATCAAGATCAACACTATTTTATTGTGACTGATTATCACGACTCATATATTCTAAATAGATATGGGTGTGATGGCCCCGGTTCCGTTTGTCTTACGACTAGAACTATTTTTTTTTCTTTGGATTGGTTTCACTCGTGTCTAGTTAAAATTCTATTTTAAAATAAGAAATGATATATTTGTGATTTTATGTTTAGATTTGTAAAAAACAAAATAGTACGACCTAAATCAGGTTATCCACAAGCTAAAAAACAAGGAAATTCCATGTAAGTGAAGGAAAGACAACGAAAAAAAACTAAACTATTCTGATATTTACTTATAGATTCGATTCTGAATCTATTGCTACTATAACTGATCTTCCATTACCATGTCATAAATCGGATGTTGAAGCATTTCTTGATGATCTATTCGACCGTGCACTTGATCCAAAAAATTTAGCTAAGAAAAAAAGTCAAACAAAAACATTATCAACATTTGATCAACGACGCTTACAGATGATATCAAATAGTCGTGTTGATCCATCAGCACGTCGTCGTGGTTTATCACATTTACTTCATAAAAATCATATACAAAAAAAATCTTCAATTCGTTCAGCTAACGGTAATGATCAAAATGGAAAGAAAAAGAAAATGAAAAATGAAAAAAAAGATACTGCAGAACGAAAAAAACCTACTAAAACAAAGAAAAAACGTAATCAACAATTAAATACTAATAACAATAATAATAATAATAATAATGCAACGAAGATTGATCATAGTTTTTCATCATTTACAAGCGAAAATAGATTTATATTACCTCAAATTGGTTATTCAAGTCGAACAGAAACTGATGATACAAGTGAATATACAAAATATATTCGTCGACCAAAACATCGTGTTTTTTATCGACAACCAAGTGGTTTTTGTAATCAACGATTTGATCGAATGCGGCAAATCTCTACTATTAATTCTAATGAACAAAATCCTATTGAAAAACATTCTCATTTTGTAAATGATTGCTATTCTCAACCGGTAGCATTTTAATTTAAAGAAAAGGAAAACCATAATCATGATATATCTTTATTGTGTGTATATTTTAATTTAAAATTTTAGATATGTACGTTTTTTCTTATAAATAATTAATTAGCTCACCCTGGAGTCGTCAGATATTGATCATAATTTTTTTCAATCAAAGGATAAAAAGAATATAAAGCTTATTCCAATTAATCCTGCTGTATGTTTTGCAACAACAAGCTCAGCATCAACAGTAACTAAATCAAATCAATCAACAACATCAACAAATTCTAATGGACCTGTTTTTGTACCGGTTATTAATATTAGTGGAAAAAAATATCTCCCAGTTTATTTAAAACAATCAACAGACGTTAATACTCCGGTAAGATTTTTCTTCTTTTCAGAGACACCTTTCGGTGTTTAGATGTTAAAATTAGCATGTTTCTCGATTTTTACTTTCTCATCAGTAACATAACTTCGAACTGTTCTTTGTCAAATTCACTCTTCGTTGTTAGTCAGTTCTATTATTAAAACCAACCCACGCTGCAATTATTCTTTTGTATGCGAAATTCTCCTAACGATAATGATTATTTCTCATTTCAAAGGTCCTGAGAACATGAGTCTTTAACATTGCTGAACAGGAACAATTTAGTTAGGAAAGAAAGTCTTATTACAAATAGAAAAGTTTATTTGTTTTTTTTTTTTGGAAATCTATTGTCTCGAATCGCCCCCGCTTCTCCCATATAGTATGTCCAATCGAACTGGAACTTTTGTCGAGATATTGGACACTGCTTGGAACATCTCTTAGAAAGAAGTATTTGGGAGTTTGGAGTCGATGACAACTTTTCTTGAGTCATCAAAACCTATCCTGAAAGTTTCAAATATTTCTCATGAGCCGTTTTTCAGAAACGCCGAAAAAGAGAGAGGATTCCATGAGAGTACTCTTCTTTGGCTTTCTAACAACGTCTAGTTCTCGAAGAGAGTACAATCGACTGCACTGACGTGAGATTTTTACTATGAATACAGCACTTTGCATAATGAGACATTTGTTCAAAAAAAAAATTCAAAGAGGGTTTTTACGGTGAAACTGACACATTATGATCTTCTCCCCTTTAACTTTGTCCAATCGAACTGAAATTTTGAAATATTCTAGAGAGATAGAATCAATCGATTTCATTTTTATTTTTGTATCCAAGTTTATAGCGTTCTAAAAGTCAAATCCCTGATTTTATCTCAGGATTCTGACGCATTTTTCTTAGTATTCAAAATAAAATGTGAAATTTCCGAAAAAAAACATAATGCATCAGGATATGGTCTCATGGAAAATTAGGATTTTCTTGTAGAATCTCCATTGAAACTTATTTTCTGGAACAGTTTCAAGGGTTCTATCTGTAATCAAAATTCCAGTCTGATTATTTGTACCCTTGTTAAGAACTAGAAGTGGTCAAGACAGAGTAGGATACCCTTCTATTGGAATAAAAAACAGAAGCAAATGATTAAATTTTTTAGACTGATCAAATAAAACAATCCGATCAAATGCCACGTAAGTTGTATGCTTTAAACAAACGGGATTTTTTAAAACATCAAAAAAATTTTAGATCACTCAGAAAATTATATTACTCAATTAATATCCTCTAATCAAGTAAATTTATCAAAGAAAACACCAACTATAATCGAAGAAAATGAAGTTGAAACACAATCAAATCCATCTCCAACACCAATAACAAAAACTAATATACGTGTTGAACGTCTTTCAATGTCACAATTAGATGTAATATCTTCACGTAATGATAAAACACAAAAACAATTTATTTCAAAAGAAAATTCAACAGCAAATAATAAGTAAAATATACTTTCATGTCAATCATTTTTTTTTAATCGCAATAATTATCCTTTTTATTCTTTTCTTCAACAGAAGTCCTGTTAAAATTTCTTCACATATATTCATACGACGCTCTCCTGAATCTCAAAAAAATTTACGAGCTAAAACAGTACGAATTGGTAAAATTCGTTGGCCACCACCACTTAATGCAGAAGAATTAGACAGTGCTAATCAACAAAGGTTCAATTACATAATTAACAAAAATATTTTATCTGTTGTATTATTTTTAGACGTATGCTTGTACAACGTCGTATACAAGAAGAAATTCATGGTAATAAAACAATACAAAATGAAATGCATCAAAAAAGTATCATTAATATATCTAATGAACATGCAACAACATTACCAGATCGGTCTCAAACTGTGCATCATATAAAACAGTTAACTGTTGAGCAAAAACTTCCAAATGATCGACGTTCACAAACTGATGCAAAATTTCTATCAACATCAACAAATGATCAACAAAAAAAACCTTCTACTGCAAATACATCCATTGATCGTATCTCACAATATTCAGATAATGCGGGTGGTGAGGATGATGATGTATCAACAAATGAAATTGTTACACGAAATCAATCATCAAAATCAGATTTTCATAAAACACTGACACCAATGTTTGTACAAAAGTAAATGAAAGAAATATTTTAATTGTTAATTTTATATGTTTAGGATCGGGAAAGAAAATTTTGAACTTCGAAAAAAATTATTTGAAAATCCAGATGATTCATCATTTGCAGGTAAGAATAATATTCAGAAAAATAATAAAACTTGAAAAAATAATAAAACGACAAAGTATTTTGAAAAATTTAAACTAAAAGATAATTAATCAAATAAATAATTATTGAAATTTATTATAGATTTTAGTGATCATCTTCCTTGAAGAAACTATTGCGTTTCAGTTTTTAACATTTGGGCTATTCTTCCATTTAGAGTACAGTATTATCTTATTTTCCTTCATCACTTCAAACTGATGTCCTATGTTGCAATTCAAAATTTGATTTCGACTTCAGTTCCATCTTTCGTCAAAGTGACACCAATGAAACTATCAAGCTTTTACTTGTACAACGTACTAGTTTTATGTTTGAGTCAGATTTATTAAGTGCCGATATAAGTAATTAAAGTCGTCAATAGGACACAAACATATTAACCTTAGAAGAGTCATTTTTTTCTCTAGAAAGAGTGAAAGATAAAATGTTGAATCGAAAATTTTCGGTCCATCTATGACATACATAGATCAAGCGGTCGATTTTGATCTTTTTGAAATGTGACTAAATTTATTTATCTAAATGATCGTAAAAATTCTTCGAATCACATATTGAATTATAATTTTTGAAATCTATGGTAAATACGCGTTTGTTTATATGTAAACATAATTTTTATGTCTATAGTTCAAGAGATTGAAACTTTTATAAAGATGGCATCTATGGATTCTACAGAGCAAGAATTGAGTTAAGTAATGCCAAAATCTATATAAAAATAAATACTCAAGTGACTGTACTGAGTTCAGAACACTCTTCTACCCGTATATCACAGATACCTTGGGACACTTTATGGGTTTTTCACAATTGACTAAAACATGCTTCTCAATGTTCAATTCACTGACTTGTTGAAAAATTCTTTATTTAATCTCATAGATATTGGCCAGATGCTTGGGCAGATACCCAGTAAGTATGCATGTACGGAGACAATTCTCAACAGGGTATTCCACTAAGATACTAGAGTATATTGATGATAAGGTATCCGAAAACGTACACGGACATTTTGAACGTACTACATTCACTATGGATAGCAGAAAAAAGTAAATAACTAGATTTTAGGGAGGCTCAGTCTCTCTTGATTAAATGTCCTGTTGCCGCTGGTATAAATAACATAGTTTTCATATAATTACTATATGATAAAAATCTTTTCGAGGTCATAAAGTTTGATGTTACTTCAAACCGTTAATGGTTCATGTGATTTTTGCTTTGTTTCTTTAGATGTTGTTCCTTCTAGCAATGAAGCACCGAATACAGCAAGTAAATCTTCATCACAGCAATCACTTAGTTATTTAACTTATCATAATATTGCATGGAAATTAAAAATTCGAAAAGAGGTTTTACAATATTGTTAATTAAATAAAAGAATTTATTTAATTATATTAAAGGTTTTTTCACCAATTGAAACATTTGATCAACCACTTTTAATTGATTTATTATATTTACAAATTGTATATGATACATTTTCAACAATATGCATTCGAATAAGTGAAGCAGAACGATCAAATATGAAAACATTTTTATGTAAATTATTATCATTATTATTATTATAAAATAAAAAATATTTGTTTAGCTTCACATGGTGTTGGAGTCATTGGTGATATTAATTTAATAAATAAATTATCAATTAAAAAATCCATTATTGAGCAAGCACGTCAATGGGCAACATATTTTTGTCGATTTTATCCTGTTTCTGTATATTTATTTCATTTAAAACAAAAAAAGAATCTTTATTTTAATTTGTTTTCTTTCTTTAAGATACCGAAGCATCATTCTGACGAAGTACAAATGTTAGGCATATCACATTTAGGTATTCGATTAATTAAACGAAATCGAACAAAAAATGCAAATGATACATTACAAATACTTGAAACATTTCCATTTGATATGATTCAACAAGTTTCACCGATTCGAAATGCTTCAACAATTGATTTACGTCTAACAAAAAAACGTATTACCATTCATTCACATCGAGTATGTATCTTTATAAACATGAAAAACAAAAGAATAACATAAAATATTTATGTGTTTTTATTTTATAGATTCAAAAAATTACACAACTTATTGATAAATTTTTAACAGAATTTCGAATTGATAAAATTAAAACTTCTCATATATCACATCATGTAAGTCTACATATATAAGTGAATTGCAACTTTTTGGTAGGATTAGTAGGAAATATTGAATGTAGATCTAACTGATTTATGAATAGTACATTTTATTATGCTGTATGCTTATGTTACAAAACAAAAGTTTCCTAATACTTTCTTGTATATTCGCCAAAGTATGACTTATTTTAAGTGTGAGCATATCATAAGATAGATTATTATAAATGGGAGAATGATTATAGTTCGCTAAGGTTTGATGTAATAAGACTGATTGCTAATTCAGAACCAACGTTTGCAATGAAATGAGTTCAACCGTATAAAGTATTATCCATTTTGGTGATCTTCAATGAGTTAATCGCTTTGGAATTGAGACTATATGCATCATATGGACTCAAATGAGTTTGGAATATCCTGAAAAGAGATCGGACCGTTGACTTATTGTTACCGAGATGTTACACTTTTTAAATAAATGCCGTGGTTTTGCTCAGGAACAAGAGGAAAACTGATTTTGATTTGTTTCTATCCTGAAATAAGAAAATCGAATCTGTCAGTTTATGAGTGTTGTAAAAGACACGCTTGCCCCATAGATATATTTTCAGATAGGAAGAACAACAAAAAGATTTGAAACATTCTCAAGAAACTAATCTCGTTAATACCTGTCTCTGTGCAAAACTTTACATTCGAATTCAAAAATCAGTTTTTCTAGACCATGACATTCATTTAAATAGTACTGTGTATATGTAGTATCTCGATAGCAATTAGCTAAGAGTCTAAACTGTTTTCAGAGTATTTATAGCTTATTGTGGTTTACATCATGTACGTAACCTCGATTGAAAAACGATTTATCACTTAGGGAACTTCTCTCATCAGTTCAAACACAACATGAAAAATATTATTCTACATTTTGTCATACAATGTAAATTTTTGAAAAACAATAAGCAATATTTGACTGATTTTTGAACTGGTAATACAACTCTGAGATCTATATCTATGGTAAAAGGTTCAATGAAAACGAATGTATTGTTCTAAAGTTATTTGTGACGAAATTTTCAAAATGTCGCTCTGCAAACTGAATAAAGATGGAAATTTGAGAAAAGGATTGCTTTTTTTTTTGAACGAAGAGGACAGTCATTCCAAAGTAACTTTTTTATTATTTTTACTTATTAAAATTTTGTTATCAAGAGGATCTCACGAAGTGATAAATCGCTTTTCAAGTGAGATGTCGCTCGTTATTTCGGTTCTATTGAGACAGAGGAAGCCTTAGAGTGATTCGCATCCATCAGTCTTTCTTCTCGTATTACCAGTATTTATACTGTGATTTTTGACTTATTCTAGGGCATTGGAGACGAAAGCAAAAGAACATATTTTGAGCTGAATTTTAGCCCATAAAAAAAATCTGATGATATCTAGAATATACCAAAAGTTTTAGAGAAAAGAAGTGCTCTGTTCTCGATAAAACGAGCTTTTAAAAAAATAACCTTCAGAAAAGTCTAAAAAGGTCAGATTTCTCGAAAAACGTACTATTTAGAGAATCAAACATTTGTTTCTTTCGAAACTTTTGGTATATTCTAGATAAAATTAAATCTTTTCATGAGCAAAAAAATCACATGATACTATGCTTTTTCGATTTCTCTTTCAATGCCTTACAACAATTTGAAAACACAATAAAAATATCTGTAATACCAGAAGACATAGCCATGGATATGAATTAGTCTCAATAGCACCTCAATAATGAGAGAAGTCTCACTTTAAAAGCGATTTATCACTTCACGTATTTTTTCATCAAATGTGACTTTTCCTGTATGAATCTCATAAATCAGTGACAGTAAGTTCTAAAGCGCTACAGCTTGCTTTAGGTGTGTGATAATCGGAGACAAGTAATATAAGAAAAAAATTGAACAACAAGAACCGAAGTTCTTCATCAAATAGAGCGATAATTTCTATCATATCAAAAAGTTGTAATTCAATCCTATTTCTTTTGATATATATTGAAAATAAATTTGTTTTATTGAAAAAGAAATCTTCTCGTGACAAATTCTCACCAAATTTGATGTCAAATACAAGTGATCTATTAAAATCATCAAGTCAAGGTAGTTTAATCAGTTGTAGTCAGACATTTAGTGAACTTATTCCATCTGCTTCATTCGATACTCATACACCAAAACCAACACAAAATGATATTGTTATTCCAAATACATCTATGTTACCAGGTGGATATTCTATGATGGAATTTGCTTTACAAAATTTTCAAATGCCAAGTAAAAGGTAAATATTGAAAATATCTGTTCTAAATGACATAAAAAAAAAAAAAACTTTTATTTATAATAAGACAATCAAAGAAAAGTTGGAAAACTTCAGGTAAAATCTCATTTTTATTGCTATTGAATTATTCCTTTTTTGTTATTAATAAGAATGGACATGGCAAGATTATAGTGAATTAATTAGATGGGCCAAAGTAAGTTTATTGTTTTTAGCTAGATTTACTAATTTCCATGAAATTTTCTTTTTTTTTTTGTTATAGAGTCCAATTCAATCAGGACTTCTTCGTCATACATCAAATGATTCAACTCGTATTGCTCGGCAAGCTTTTCTTGGTAAATTTATCATTGTTCTTTTTTTTTTTTAATAATAAGACTCATAATAAAAGTTCTTTTTAGCTATCATGCGTTTCATGGGTGATCAAACAATGTCACGAGGTCAAAGTGATATTGATTGTCTATTTTATCTGCTAAAAGTATTCATTTAGAATTTTTGCCGTAATAGATAAAAAGAAAGAATATATTTGCTTTGATAGAGTATGCATAAACATCGAACAATAATTGATGAAATTATATGTCAAATTATAAAACAATTAACAGATAATAAAAGTACAAAAAATGATAGTGTTCAACACGGATGGAAATTACTTGCTATTATACTTAATTATTTTATACCAAGTGAAAATTTACGACCATATTTTGTTAAATATCTTAATGATAATATGAATCAAAATGAAAGATTAGGTAGTATTTTAAGTTCGATAGTATTTATAGATTTGTAATTTATTTTATTGATAATAGTACGATTATGTTTAAACCATTATGAACAAACATTAAAATATGGTGGAAGAAAAAATACACCAAGCAAAGCTGAAATTGATCTTATTACAATTGTATAAATGTTATCTTTTCATGTTAACATATCTATTTTATATTTTAGAATGGTCGAACTACAGGAAAACGTCAAATATTTTTATTACCAGGAGGATATCCATTGGCACTCATGGCGACACCATCAATGGTAATTGATTACGGATAATTGGAAATATTATATAAGAATTAACTCAAGATAAGAAAAAACGAGATCTCCATATAATACCTATTGTAAAATGAATATCATATCTGTAGAAAAGTTTCAAATGAATATGAGTTATCGCTTTCTCTTGCTTGTTGGATATTTTTTTTAAGTAAATTCTCTCGATAATCTCATACCAAAACATCTACTTAAGATTTAACGATACATTGACAGTGTTTGCCACTGTCATAGATAAGTTGAATGAATTCATAGGCATCCGGTGTGACTAGAAACTGATCATGGATACTGGAATAGTTACATTCCTGTGTTTGTGTCAACTGCATTAGATTTCTCACAACCAGGGTTATCGATATTCTTTTTTTTTTGTTGAGTAGAAGGCTGAAAATTGAGCAGAAAATGCTTTCATTCTTGGAATGCTAGAAGTAGTGATTAAAGTGAGGGAAGAACGAAATTCACCACAATGCAACCTCTCGCGCGAACTGATGACTTACCGTCAGACCGTTTGTACCTTTAAAGCTTGCCTTAATCCTATTCAACATGCAACAACACTGTCTGCTTATTTTTATTTTATTCTCTGTCATAGAAAGGCAAATGAATTGGCAAAAAGTCGGACACTTCGGAGACGGAAGAGCTCCTCAGTAAAAAAAATCCTGGCCATAAGATGAATAATCTTATCTTTTGAACTTCTTTCAATAGTTCATTCGTTTTTTCTAGATCAAAATAACCACACATCATCATCACAATGTTTTTTTTCCAATAGAATTAAGTAGTTCATTAATCACTTGGTGAAAATAAATTTTTCTATTGAATAATTAAAATCTCTTTTCTTTCACAATAACATATTTTTCGCTACGTTGAATATTAGTTTCGATGTATCTAATATTTGTTAAAATAATATACATATTTTGTGAAAAATAGTTCACAAGTCTTGTTTGTTTTTGAAAAATTTCTATTTTGATTATTGTTGTATACTCTACATATGAGCCCATACAATTAGTACGTGCAAAACAAAATAAGAAATATAATTTTTGATATAAATTTTATACAGAGCAACCTGAGACTAATATAATGTTCTATTTTTGAGATATTGATTCCCAAAAACAAAATGGAAATCCCTTACTAAAATTTAATATCAGGAAAACGAAATTGAACTTTTCATTGGAAAATTTCGATTGTTGAATATGAATTCTATTTAGGTAATTGGTGATTGTCTCAATCTACTGTGTCAACAATTGAATATATCGAATAGCTTAGAACATGATGAATATTCTATTTTTATTATAAGTGCTTCAGGTAAATTTTCTTCAATAGAAGTTTGAAACTGTTTTCTTTTTCTAACTGTCATGTTGTATTTTAATAGAAAATTCATCACGTTTATTAAATCCAAGTGAATATTTATTTGATATTTTGAGTGAATGTGTTCGAGCAAATATAGATGATTATCATTTAATTATAAAACGTATGCTTTGGTTCACTATTCCTATGATACTTGATGATAATAACAAATCCGAAATATTTATCGATTTTATGTATCATCAACTTGTACCAGAATTACTTGAAGGTACCATGATAGTTATCAAAAACAATCATTTGTCAGATGAAATCATGGTATGGAAAAAGAAAAAAAATCAAATGGATTCATGTGAACATTTTGATCTTTTTAATTTTAGCAACAAATTTCATTGATGGCCGCTCTTCAATTTCGTGCTTCGAATAAAATTGGTCTTCCTTCAATGTATGCAGATATATTCGTAGCAGTAGTGGAACGGAGTTAGATAGGCTTAAAAGTCCGTAGCTTGGGTTGAACACTAGAGTCTAACGTGCCTGAGGTCTAAAATTTTTTGTTCATCGGGTTCGAAAATTTTCGACATCCAACAGGCTCTAGTGAGTATGCTTATCCCAACAGCCTGGCTGCACCACTGATTTATAAGAACTATTATATGTATATGTATGTTTTTTTAAGGCGAGAAGTAAAACATCTTCTTCCATCTACTGTGTTAAAAGTAAAAAATGTTCGCCCTCAAGTATGGACGACCACAGTTCATGAAAAACTTGATTCATCTATCGAATCTATGACACCAATAGAAGCTAAATTAAATTTTTTAAGTAAATATTATAGTCTTTCATGTTCTCTTCGAATAAATCGTGCTCTGCTTAGATGTTATTCAAACATGGCCTCTGTTTGGTACAACGTTCTTCACAGCTCAAGTCTGTAATTTGTCTTATCAATTTGTTCTATGCATATTTTATTTCTAGTCAGTTAACGATCCATCGATTCGATCACCTTGTCTGATTGGTACTTTTAAAAATGGAATATTATTTCTTGATATAGATACTCGAGTAAGTTAATCAAACTTTATCTTATTTAACAAAAAAAAATTTTACATTTGTTTGATTGTATCTCAGGAAACTCTCTTTACAATACCATATAACGATGTAGTTTCAATTCGTCGACATCAAAATTTAATTGATATTAAACATGGTAGTTTAAGTCAACCTCATCTTCTTGAATGTCAAGTTGATAGAGTAAGTTTATCATGATAAATAATGTAAAATTAATGGAACTTTTATATTGATTTAGGCGCAAGATTTTGTTGCATTAGCTGGACGTTATTTAAGTTTTATTGGTCGAAGTTTAACATCGGCATTGGAGAGAAAATGTGATTCTCAACAATATCACAGACCATCGACATCAACATACAATGATCCAATTAGTACAATATTGTAGTTTACATTTTTTTTTGTTTCGATATCATGTACATATATCTAGACAAAATTTGTCTGACAATCATTTAATTAGAAAAAAGCGTGTGAGACAAAAAAAAAATAAAGTCAGTTATATGAAAATATTTATAAATTTTTCTAAATGCATTTATTGATTTGAAAGATAAATTGAAAGATATAAATGATAGCAACTATGAAAGATACTTTGTTTTGTAAAATATATCAATTGCAATTATTTATTATCCTAAAACGTCATCATGACAAGTATTACTATTTGAATAATTAATAAGCATTAATTTTAGCGTCGATTTAAGTCCGTGAAAGTTTTACTGTTTGTTTCATAAAACAGTTTCAAAGAAAAGCTCCATTTTTATTGATAAAATTTTTGGTTATTGTTTGTTCTACTAGTTTGATTTAATTTTGTTACTGTCAGCAAATATTTATTATAATAGAATTACGAGAAAGTGTAAACGAACAATAGCTTTGGCTAATGAATTTGATTTTTCTATTAGGACTTTTGTGTTCTTGTGTTATTAAATATGTTTATATTAAAGAAAAGTCTTGCTCTATATGTTGACAAAGTGACCTAAATGATTATGAAAGTATGAGATAGTCATAGCACAGAAAATTGATTTTAAAATAAAAGGAATCTAGAAATGAAATGTAGATTTTTTTGGATTGGATTGGATTAGGAAATTGACCGATACTTCATCGAATAATTTGAATATTAGCATTGATGATGAGCTTTATAAGGTAACTATTTTTATTTTTCTTTAATTTCTAAAATATATTTTAACACCAACGTTCGATGATTCACAATTATACAAGTGAAACAAGAGGATTAAATTGATGTAGGATTGACTGTCGGTCGTCTATCAGGTTTTTATCTTAGTCCACTCACATTCCCACTCCTAGTGTTTCTGATTTTCGCCAGATTACAGCTCATAGTATCTTGTGTACTAACTTTAAGAAATTTTCAAGTCAATTTATTGTGATGTTTCATTGTTATTGATGATAGAATCGCAGCATGCCATTTGTCATCCTTTCAAAATCATGAAACCATTTCTTTTTTGCAAGCTGTTAAGCATCTGTTTTAATTAGAAATTTTGTTTTTGGTATACGATTTACTCGAGCAAATTATGCTCTATTTAAAGAGTATTTTTGACCTGTACTGAATATTGTCATGAAAAAGACAACCAAGAACATTTTTTTTTCGTATAATTTTTAGTCAATTTATTGTTTAATGTACCTTTAACAAGAGCACCACAAGTTGTACAAGATATTCTATGTTAGAACGATTATATGATTTCAGTAATATGCCTTTGTTACATTATAAATAGCAGCAGTACGAAGCCTGCCATAATTCCAAGCAACAATCTATGTACCGATCTCATTCAACAACATAGTTAGTTTTAGCGCCTCATGTTTATGTCGATAGAGAATAAAATTTAAAACAACCATCTCTGTTAAGTTTCATTTGATACTTCTTTCTTTGAAAGAATATATATCCAGGCTGCTGCTGTGACCACGATAAGTTTTTGAATCTTGGTATTGATAACGTAGCAAAGGTATATAACTTGAATAATATAATCATCATCTTCTCCAATACGTGAATAAGATCGTGTAAAAAAGTCCATCTGCAGTTAATGTATAAATAGTAGACGACTAACAAAGTTTTCTAATATAAAACATCTACTTAAGAAAAAAATAGAATATTTTTTGCAACTTAAAGTGCTCTTGCTAATGATGTGTTGAATACTAAATTGACTAAACGTCATATGAAAAAAATGTGCTTCGTCATCTTTTTCTTGACAATTTCCAGTGCAGATCAAAAAAAGCCTTTTTTGTATTCATCCTCTAAAGAAAGCTACAATAACGAGTGCTCTTTAAATTGAGTATAATTTTTTTTGTCTATTGAATCACGTAACATAAATAAAACTTGTAATTAGAACATATGTGCAACAACTTGCAAAAAGATGTGGTTTCATAATTTTGAAACAATGAAAAATCACATGTTTCTATTGCATAGCCAATAAAAAATTAAACAGATCAATGGATTGATCTGAGATATTTTTAATTAGTATACAAGAGACTAAAAGCTGTAATCTGACGAAAATCATCTAGTTCTAGCTTATCTAATTTTTGAAATATATAAAATGAAACATTTTTTCCATGTACTTTATTAAAAGTGAAAAATATTCGTCCTCAAGTTTAAATATTATATTGTCTTTATCATTCGTTATATTCATGATTATTTTTTTATTTCGACACCATGTTAATGTATCTAGAGGAAATGTGTCTGAGAAATATTGAATAAGCAAAATTTGTGAGAAATCAAAAAAAGAATAAAGTCATAGTTATTCATATGAAAATATGTATAAACTTTTCTGTATGGATTTATATATGTAAAAAAAGTGCAAGATATCAACGACAGCAAATATGAAAGTGGCTTTTTATGAAATACATCATTTGTAATAGTTTATGATCTTCAGACATCGGTATGGCAATTATTACTTTTTGAACTATTAATTAAAATACTGTCGTTTATATAGTCTATTTTTAAAGGGGTAACCAGAGGATGACTAGTAGCAGATTAGCTTCTACGTGCAAAAGCTTTGAGTCACCCAGACAAATGGTTGAGCACTACTCAAACAGGAACTTGAGTTTCTTCTAGAAGCATTTTCAAAGGATATAGTGGTGCTGTGGATTATTTTCCTTAGGTTATGTCAGTGTTTCTTAACTTTTTTTTTCTATTTTTTACACTGACAAGAAGGTATTTTATTTCATTATGTTTAGTTTTAGAAAAGGAGATAAGCTCGATTTGTATAGTAAGCCTATTCATCAAGTACTAATCCATTAATTTACTTTAGTCATGACAATTAAGGGAAAAATTTGGAAATGAATGAACAAAAATAGGTACATTTTACTGTCATATAAACTGCAAAATGTTTGAAATCATTTCAATATGTTGATGGAATTTTTTATTTCAACAGAAAAACTTTCAAATTAAAGTTTAATACAAATGATTTATAATTAAGGAACAGTTCAAAGTGTCGTGCTTAGAACTCAGTCATTATGAAATTGCTTTCTTCATTCTTTATTCAGAATATTTATTTTGTTCACAAACGCTCGTGATAAAGATATTTGCTTTTAAAAACAGATTTTCTTAACTCATGATTTCTTTTTGTCAGACTGATGTGACTTCTAAAATATATGTTATCAATAATCAGTTGAAAATCTACTTTTATAAATATTATGATATAAGGTGAGTTATGATTTCACTTTGAATTTAAAAATGTTACATATGTTTAGTGTGTACCAAAATTATTCAACAAGGACTATTTTCCATTTTTTCACTGCTTTAAGCGCTAGAACGAATTTGAATAGAGTAAATTATTTCCTCAAGAAATATAATAAAATAAAAATTATTATCAGATTGACTACATAGAACGATAGAGTAAACAATCGTCTACAAAATGAGATGCTTCCGAGTATTTTGCAACTTTTATTTAACTGAGAAACAGTCACCTTATGAAAGGCTTTAAAAACGTTTGTTTCCTATTTTCTTCAAAAAAAATAAATAAATAAATAAATTTTTGATCTTCAATCAAATTGCTGTCTCTCAACTAAAAGTCATCGCAGAGAATTATGTGAAGTCTCAGTTTTAACAGTATGATTTACTCTATTGATCTATGCGATCTTAATAAAATTATATTTACGTTCTCTAGGTGTTGAAAAAACTATCCATTTGATTTTATAGTAGTCTTTGTCTTTTTGAATTTGATAATAATTTTTTTTTCTTATATTCCTTTAGAAAATAATTTGCTCTATTCGGATTCTTTCTAACATTTACGACAACGAAAAAATAATTGAAAGTAAACCTTGTTAAATAAATCTAGTACTCTGTATGTTTATCAGAAAAAAAAAATATAAAAAAATTATTATTTTTATTAAGTATATTATTTTTTCTAATCCATCATATTTTTATTACATTTCTTAGCAAAAGCTAAGTACCATTGTCATCATAGAAATCTCGCTTGTTATCTACACGTTTGTAAACGTTTTACTGTAACTAAAAGCTCTACACAATAGCTTTTATGAATTGCGAACAATACAGCGTTACCCATTAATTAAATACATAAAACTATATTTAGCCCTGAATTTTGTTTTACTCATGTGTAGTTTCATTATCTATAATTATGAAATGCAAATTCATGAAAACAAGCGTCAATAGAAATAAACTCCCACTCATTGACATCATTGTATGTTTTTCTTCTTATTAATTTACTTTTTCATTCTTTGTTAATAGCATATTAAGAATTAGCACTGTCTAATTGAATTCTATAAAAAAAATATCCATTTTGAATAAATTATTCTTATGATTGATTCAATATATTTATTTAACATTGTGGCATAATTCATCTTATTATTTCGGAAATAGTCAATTTAGAAACGACAATTTCTGTAAAGTCGATCTTTCTATGATTCTGTCGCTTGTTATGTATACAAATAGAACATATTTTCTATAAATCATTTTATCTTTCCATTAAACACAAACAGCGAATAAGACAAAGTCTTTTTAACAATCACCAAACAGATACAATTCATATAAAATCAAGAAAATAAATGTAGTCATGCAGAGAGATTACTAAAACAACAATTAAGAGACATGTTCCTGGTTTTTTTTTTCTATCGCCGTTTACTGCCAAAACGAAGAAGTGATAATAAAGTTTTAAACGACTTCTTTTTGGTAGTTGTAGAAGATGATGATGGAGGTGGATAACACAGTTCATTTGCAAGTTCGGCTGTTGGTTCAATAACTGGCTGTGACATTTGGACAGGCAAGGTTTCGAATGTCGAGTTGTGAAACATCGACAAAGTATTATTTTCTTGATATGGTGCTGGTAATGTTTCAGAACATTGATTAATTGTACATAAGACAGTCGTATCATCTTTCTTTCCATTATGATTAATAGATCGACACGATAAGCAATGATTGAGTGT